GCATTCAACGTAATTCGTACTTCTGTCTTTCATCAAGAGCCTAAAACCACATCGTCATCAATTGACCGAACAATCACAGCCAACCAAGATACATGACTGAAACGGATAAAAATAGATTCTTAGACCTTTAACAAACTACCAGCGTCTTTTTTAGTAATTAATATCATTCAAGAATTGACCTCCGCCGTCCACCAACTCCACTTCATCAATTGATTTTCGATTCCCTCTCTGTTGCGACGCCTTTAAGAGCGTAATTTTCTCTCCCGACATAAAACTCCCCCCTTTTTCTTTTCTGTTTGACGCGTGATATTCTAATTTGTATGCAATCCACACTACTCAAACGATTTCCTCAATCAGGCTGTCATGACCAGGGCTTTGTTCAAATTTAGTATTGCGGAAAAATTAATTCTCCAGACGAAACGAAATCAGCATTTAAAGAGGGGCTATGCTGGACAATCTGTTATTATTCGTATAGGAATATTACAGGTCTTCCTACTTATAGTCTGATTATAGCCACTGGTCGGTGTTGCCCTTGCCGACAGCCTAATAGATTATCATGGCTATACTAATATGAAAGAATACACGATACGCATATTTGATCGAGTCTCCTGGGTAGTCTTGATCAAAACTTAGGGTACCTCTACATATACCTGTATTTGACAACTGAGACTAAGTTTGCCTTGATTAAATATGTAACACGATGTGCACTATGGCCGAGTCGATGGGGTAGAACAAAAAAAACTGACAAATCAAAAGGAGAGGGGGTTAACGTCAACTCGATACAAAATAGGTCATTTTGGGACTGATATATGGTGCAATTTGTTATTCAATAATTCGCTTGCGCATAGGGGTCTTTAGCAGTGGGAGGATCCGGAGAAACCTCACGAGTTTCAAGCGTCCCTACTCATTGTCACGTACAATTTGGGAATCGAATCCACGCCAGTTGACTCAATGAGACCTTATGATACAACGCACACGCGCTAGACACCCACCCTCCGCAAAAGAAAAAGCCATAGGTAGATGTTAAAGATAGCAGGACAAGTTCAAGCACCATCTGTTCATTCTTATTTTAAATGAGACTTTTAACTTAGGCCTGCCCCCACCCCACCCCTCTGTTAAAAGATCCAGCTCAATCTACTGCGATATTACTCTCGATGAAAACGAACGTAAAGATCCACGAACAAAACTAATGATCCATCTCTTTACAGTTTTATATTTCATGCAAAATACATCACCGATCTCAATTTGGCGTAATCATTTCAGTGACATTAAATACCGGCCAAGTAATGGATAGGCCATGCTTCATTAAGTAGTCTTTTAACCATCCTTTAACAGAGACTCCATATACGAATAAACGTGTCAACTGACACAATAAATAAAGCTTTTACATCTACTAATAAACCAGTTTAAGTGTAGCCGATAATCACGCGTCTGTCTTAAACATCTAACATACTGTAAAAAAGCTAATATCTTCAACCAATTTGATTAAGATCAGTGTGTAGCCAGCCGATTTGATCATTCTTCATTGTAAACCTCCGACAGGCTAATCTCTAACATATCTAATGCAACAGTATTTGTAAAAAGCTTCACTGACATCGGATGATATATGATGTAATTGTAAAATAGTGGAGAAATATAATCGATTCTGTCTAATAGACATTTTTTTTACATGAAGTTCACCGTATACTTGGTTTAGGGGTGGAAATTTAATTTTCCCTAAAGGCGGGATGTGCAAACCAGATTTGTGACTTTTTCTTATTCTGAAAACAGAATGTCACCAGGAACGAAGCATTCCGTGATCCCCAACACCTTGGAATTGTTTCATGTGAATTGTACAGGAATCGACTGAGCTTTAGGCTTTGTTTCGAAGAGGAGTAACACACGTGGTTGGATGGCTGAATGGTCTAACGCGTGCCCTTTAGGTCTGTCTTTTAGCAGGGGGATTGGATGGCCGAATGGTTAGCACGTGCGTGCTGTATCATAAGACCTGTCATTGAGTCAACTGGCTTGGTTTCGAATCCCCTGTTGTACGTGACAAGGAGTAGGGTCGCCTGTTAAGCCTCGTGGGTATTCTCCGGGTCCTCCGGTTTCCTCCCACTGCTAAAGACCCCTACGCGGAAGCGAATTATTGAAATAAAATTAAAAACCATATGTTAGTCCCGAAATGACCTAGTTTGTGTCGCGTGGACGTTAAACCCCATCTCTCTCTGGTTTAATTTTTTATTTCAATAATTCGCTTGCGCGTAGGGGTCTGTAGCAGTCGGAGGAACAGGAGAAAACCTACGAGGTTGGACTGGCGACCCTACTCTTTTGTCACATAAACCGGGGATTCGAAACCACGCCAGTTGACTTAGTGACAGGCCTTATGATACAGCGCGCACGTGATAACCATTCGGTATCTAAATCGTGTAATTTGAACCAGATCCCAAACCGGTTGTTAAATTTGTATTGGAAGGAACTAATTTAACCAACGTGGCAGGGAGTACGGCTGCCTGTCTAACATTGTGGGTTATTTCGAGTCCTTCACTCCACCCCCACCCCACACTTAAATATCCCTACGTGCAAGCGAGTTATTGAAATGACCTGGTTTGATCTCTCTGGCTCTGTACAAAGCAACATAAATACCGCGAAGGATTACTTCAGCTTGCTAATAGCATACTGATAGAAAGATACCCTTGCATCGCTAACCTTCTCTACTGCTTTTCTGTAATTAATCTTCATTTTTGCAAATATTTTCATTTTAAAATCCCAAAGGATACAAATCCACATGTTGAACAGAATATGATTGATTGCTTGCACACTTAGGGTAATTTTAATTTAATGTCAAAGGACATCGAACAAAAATAACGGAGTCCCGAGAGATTTGATATGTTGAAATATCAAGTCATTGTCATAAAACAAACGATATTAAACGTGTTACTTTTTCTAGATAGTATCATAGGTGTGAATCGGAATTTATCATATATACAATTCTTTATAAGCGGGTGCGATGCACGATACGCCCACGTTTAGTAAGAGACGGGCAGAAAACAAATATGGCCATAATCCAGGATGTTACGTTCCAACATGCGTCAATAGCGAAAGGAACCGTGATTTTTGGGATATAAACATATCTTTTAAGTTTCATCATTTGCGGATAAAAATTGTGACATCTAGTGAGTCCACAACCTTGTCAGACAGTCTCCGTCCGATTTTAGCGAAATTCGAACTCGGCCATAATTATGGTGTAACGGTGATAAATGTGAACGGTTTTTAAAATCAGATAACAATTAAAAGGCTAAAAACGCGATTTATCATAACACGCAGAAGCTAAAACATGATTTTTTGTACAACCAGGGGTCATAATCCATGCCAATATCAAAAGGAACCGAGAACTTTGGGATATAAACTTATATTTCAAGTTTCGTCAAAATCGGATAAACATTGTGACCTGGAGAGAGAGAGAGAGAGAGAGAGAGAGAGGGAATTGATAAGTTGATGGAATATCAGTAAAAAAAAAATGGTTCAATTCCTTTCAATATTTATAAAGATAAAACGAATTGAAAATTCCGTCCATTTATGTTGCTCCCTGTGTAACAAGACGACCGCCATCTTCATTTGTCCTTGAAACAAGACTGATAGGCTTGTTCTAAATCCAGGACGTTAGATTATCTAGCATTTGTTTAACGTAATATCAATCTGAGTACAAAGTAGAGTGTATTAAGCCGCGAAAAGAAAAATTTGATACTTTGCGGAATGTGCAAATCATGTATCGTTATTTTAATTATGTAAAACAACTATTTCACCTGATTAGGATGCTTGGTTTAGTAGACTTCAGATTCTGGATTTGCTCGCTTAAGAGTTTTAACGTGTTTACAATAAAAGTTGTATTCTAGACTGCGACTTGTTTTTTGAGAGTGATATTCTACACACACTCACTGGGTCAAGCAAGTAGAGATACGCATGCTCGGATTAGTGGACTTCAGATTACTGATTTACTCCTAGAGGATCACTCAAGAGTTTTACTTTGTTTAAAATAAAAATTGTATTAAAGGCTGCGACTTTGTTTTTATACGCCCACATTGAAATCTGGTCGTATATTGTTGTCGCCCCGTCCGTCCGGCGTCCACAATTGCTTGTGTTCGCTCTATAGGCTAAAGTTAATATCCGACTGACTTTAAATTTATACACAGTGTTTAAGGTCATGAGATGAAGAAGCCTATTGATTTTCATCGATTTTCGATAGTTACTGTCAGAGTTATGGCCCTTGGTCACTTCAAAAAATCTTGTGGACGCTCTAGAGGACAAAGTTAATAATATCCGATTGACTTTAAATTTATACACAGCGTTTAAGGTCATGAGACGAAGAAGCCTATGGATTTTCAACGATTTTCGATAATTACTGACAGAGTTATGGCCCTTTATCACTTTGAAAAATCTTGTGGACGCTCTAGAGGTCAAAGTTAATAGGGGATAGACTTTAAATTTATACTCAGTGTCAAAGGTCATGAGACGAAGCAGCCTATTGATTTTCAGCGATTTCCGATAATTACTGTCAGAGTTATGGCCCTTGATCACTTTGAAAAATCTTGTGAACGCTCTAGAGGCTAAAGTTAATATCCGATTGACTTTAAATTTATACACAGTGTTTAAGGTCATGAGACGAACAAGTATATTGATTTTTAATGAATCTTTATGACTTGAACAGCTAGTATGGGGCAGATCTTATTAACAACCAAACAAATTCTAATGGTTTTCTGATAATTACTTAATGAGTTGTTACTCTTAATCAGATTTTAATGTATTATAAATGTTTCATTACCGAAAAAAGTAAAAATATGTGACAACTCTTGTTGACTGCCCGGACGATATAGCTGCTGTGGGCGTATGTTTCGTTGCCTGGCAACCTATCTTTAACGTAATAATGTTACATACATTCACAGAGTCAAGCAAAGGGGTGCATTGTATTTTGACTTCTTCTGTTTAATTGTATTTATCAGATTTGTTATTCTTATTTTCAGATGGTTTTGGACCAAAGCATGATCGCATTCCGACCCCAAAGATATTAGCGGGTGAAACTAATATAACAGTGAGAGAAGGTGGAACGGCTGTATTACCGTGTTCAGTTCAATATCTAGGTACAAAACAGGTAGGTGCACTTTAATTTATAACACTGGTAAGCTGCAAGCACTGACTTACGAACCTGGACCCGGTTTCACAAAATCTTAAATCTCAGGAATGTCGTCGGAAATTAAAATTCCATCCTAACTTTAAGATACATTATGTAAGATTTAGATAAAGAACTAGCCATTCTTGCTATAATAGTTCGAAAGTAGATGATGTAAAATGAATAATTGGAAAATTTCATTCAAATTAGTCTATTGCAAGCGAAGATATTAGCCTTTGAAGGTTTGACAGACGTGTGCAATAATTTCAACCACCGTACTGGTTGATCGAAGCTAAGTCTCGGTCCTCCATATTTGATTTAATCAAAGTATCGCTAAACCATTCTAATCTATTTAATATCGGGGAAATCTGATGCCATCGAGAGTTGATTAAGGCCTGAATCAGTTAATTAATGTCTAATTAATACTTTAGAAAAATTTCAGGCCTAAAGAAAGACCTGCAATAGGCAGATTTAGCTCTTGCATAATGCATGTTTAAGATGAGTGAGTTTCACAAAACGAATTAAGCCTTTAGCTAAAAATCCACTAAAATAATATTTTAAGTTAAATTTTTTATCTTAACTTCAAATAGTGGTGTTCAACAAAACTCTGTTAGGGAATATAATCATTAAGTGGAATTTAGGGATTGAGCACATTTAAAAAAAACACAACACAATTTATATGGAATGCAATCACTGGTTTATACACATATAGCACGACGTTTCGACAAGTTTTCTCTTATCAATATCTTATCATCGTTTTCCTTTGTTGAATACTTGTCGAAACGTCGTGCTATAATATGTGTATAAACCAGTAATTGTTTTCCATATAAATTGTGTTGTGTTTTTTTATGTAAGGGAAATTGTAACAAAAATTAATTTTAATTCTCCTAACTTGGATCACGACATAAACATTAGGGCTTAGTTTTCAGATCTACATTATTGAGACAGATAGATCTGTTTAGAATAATGTTAATACGCTGATGGCGACCAGGCTGGACAATATTAACATACCAATTCTCGCTCAATTTCTTTAAGGGCATTCAATGCCTACGGTCCAGTCGTTTAATGTATTGTAAGTACATTAAGCAATTAGATGACGCCCCAAATTAGACAAAAAGCTTTGAAACATTTATACTTTTTCTAAATAAAGAACATACCCCGCCCCACACACACACACAGAGGGCTGTGGCATTTTCAACATAAAGGGGATTGCATTTCAATTCAAGGCCTCGGAACAATAGATATTTGGTGGATTAGTTTCAAATCTGTTAAACGCTGTCAAAATTCGACAATAATTGACAGTCTAGACTAGTTCGTAAAAGTCAAGTATAGCGACACTATGACCTACTCTTATATGGAAATCCAACTGCCAAGGGATATTTTACGCGCAAAGCAATGTATACACGGGACCTCCTTTTCCCGTCCCATCCGAATGACTAGGCAGCTGTTCTTGTCAGGTCCCCCGTCCTGCATCGCTGACAAGAGGAAACCACGTCGAAAAATCGCGATGAACACCCGACCTCCAGGCTAGCGAGCCAGCGTTTTACCCAAAACAGAAGTTACACGGGTAGAGGTCATCTCCATTTAATCTTAACAATCTGTGGTGCGTTCTAGAATGTCTCCTTATAGCATCAGTCACAGTAACGCAATAATCATTAATTGTGTCAATTTCATCATTTAAATTCTGCATCAAACACAAAATAAATAGCACCATTGAGTTTCTTGTAAAAGTAGATGGTTACATGATTGGTAAGATATGCATGGTGAGCATGACTTTGCAGACAAGCAATTAAAGGGTTCATAGTCAGCCTTTTGGATAATAATCCCAGGACATTCTGATTTTGTCAAGTGTGTAGTTTAAAAAGCCACAAGTGCTTAACATTATGCAAGAGCTAAATCTGCCTATTGCAAGTCTTTATTTAGGCTTCTGATGTTATAGAAATTATTAATTAGACCTTTATTTACACGACAAGCTCAAAATCAACTCTGTAGACCCGCGGATTTCTTGGATACAGTTTGGATTTAAACAAACGTCCATTTAATATTAAATGGCATACCAAACCAATGTTTACCGTTAATTGTTGATGTCACTACTGTAAACTGATGATGAAAGGCCTGCCAAGCGAGGCTACCATAGTCATTGAGCATGTTACTTGATAATCGAGAATATATGGGTGGAGTTATCGCCTGTCAATCAAACGATCGCCAATATTCATAGACGGTGGTGCAGACACAATTGATGCCTATTTCTAGTCCAAACTTCCAACAGTGACAATTCCGTTCAGAACAAAGTAATTTGACTGAAATTTTCAACATTTTGTTTTTATCATCTATTTTTGAATTATTATAGCAAGAATGGCCAAATCTTTTTAAAACTCTTAACTAATGTATCTTTAATGTTGGCTATTCAATCTGGTTTATATTATAGATGCATTATGTAAGATTTAGATAAAAAAAAGTGTACGTTCTTGACATAATGGTTCAAAAAAAGATAATGAAAAATAAATAAATAGAAATTACTTTATTCTGAGCGTAGTTATAACTTTTTGAAGATGTATAAATTGAATGGGGTTTAACGTCCCACTGTTCTGCACCGATGGGCTAATGAAGACGGGACTCCTGAAGAATTAGCGTAGCTCGTTTATTATTGTTTCAACGGTACTTTCAACCGAGACTAATTCTCGATTATCCATTTTATTGTTATTTTTTTTTAAATCTCGCGGCTGTTCAAATCCATTTAATAGAGTTGTGAATAAACGTCTAAATAACAATTTATATAACATTTGAAGCCAAAGGAAAGAATGGTAATAGCTTTAAATGTTAATCAATGTTGAACATTTTCACACTTCTCGCCATTTGCGTATTGTTAAGTTCTAAATCATGCAGTATTATACACCGTGCATTATTACAATGCGTGACTATATAAATCAATTGAATATTTTTTTGGTGGAAACCCATCTTTGTCATCCCATAGAGCTCATTGGTTTAAGCACTTAGGGGATATCCCTAAACAGTCGGAGTTCGTGTCTGGTCAGGACACCACGACATAGATGTTAAAAGATAAATGGGTTAAATATGTTTGAAATATACATGACAATCCAGTGTAACGTTCTCCTGTAACACCGCGATTAAACCCGGGACCAACTGTCAGGGGCTCTGTTATCATACAACCCAAACGGCTAGACGTTGTACCCTGCTATACGGCAGAGAAGGGGAGACCACGCTGACAAATCCCAAGGAACTGTATCGTCGAACACTCGTATCTAATCCAGGACCCGGTGGTTGTGAGACAGTGCCTTATTCACTGAGCCACCACGGCTCAAAAAGATCAGGCGACGCATGACAAACTCGTTGAAATGATATTTACTATCTGTACACACAGTTTACCCGATGTCAACCAATGTTGTATATCACTATACGTATAGACAGTTTACCCGATGTCAACCAATGTTTTATATCACTATCCGTATAGACAGTTGGCCTGATGTCATCTAATGTTTTATATCACTATCCGTATAGACGGTTTACCCGATGTCAACCAATGTTTTATATCACTATCCGTATAGACAGTTTACCCAATGTCAACCAATGTTTTATATCACTATCCGTATAGACAGTTTACCCAATGTCAACCAATGTTTTATATCACTATCCGTATTAGTTTGCCCGATGGCATCTAATGTTTAATATCACTATCTGTACAGGCAGTTTACCCGATGTCAACCAATGTTTTATATCACTATCCGTATAAACGGTTTACCCAATATTAACCAATGTTTTATATCAATATCCGTATAGACAGTTTACCCAATGTCAACCAATGTTTTATATCACTATCCGTATAAACGGTTTACCCAATATCAACGACTGTTTTATATCAATATCCGTATAGACAGTTTACCCAATGTCAATCAATGTTTTATATCACTATCCGTATAAACGGTTTACCCAATATCAACGACTGTTTTATATCAATATCCGTATAGACAGTTTACACAATGTCAACGAATGTTTTATGTCACTATCTGTATAGACAGTTTACCCGATGTCAGCTACTGGTTTATATCACTATCGGAGTATGGTCGCCCTCGACCGCCGGTAGTATAGGGGTGTGGGGATATGGAGGCCGCACTGACAGTTGGCCCAATACGAACTAATGGTTCATATTTACTATCTGTACAGATAGTTTGCCCGATGTGAACCAATGGCTTATATCATTATCTGTACAAATAGCTTGCCCAACTTGACATGATGTCGGGATTAACGTCCGCTTCGACCCTAGGGGATATCACAGATAGTTTGTCTGATGTGAACCAATTATTAACATCAAAATTAATCACCATGGTAACAAGACGTTTGGGAGATTAACATTTGTCTTTAATCTCCCCTGGTTCGTTTAAAGAAACTTGTAGTTCACCGATATGCAAATCGCAGCGTGAGGGGCGGGGAGCACTAGAGACAATTTGCCCGATGCGAAACAATATTTTATATTAATATCAAATTTGATCACCATAGTAACAGGGCATTCTGACCATTAACATTTTTCTTTAATCCCCTCACATCGTTTGAGTAATTAATGACGTCTATGATTCGCTTAAAGAAAATATTAGTTCACCGAGATCTATATATATTATACTTTGTAATAACCGGATTGGATTTCAGTCCTCCATCCTGACGATTTCTAAATAAACTTAAAGCCAATAGATCTAAGCGCCCTAGACAAATGTTTGTATAGGAACTGTTAGTGAAACTGAAATAGATTTTTTATTACCCATTTTCAAATTTGAGATGAGATAAAGCGGTGATTTATGTGAACCGTGAGTCGGGGTAGTAATGACTGTTTTATGGGTTATACCGTTCTCCTCCTTCTAAATGTGTTTTTACGTGAATTTATGATCGGCGATTTCCCGTGATTTAAAGTGAAGTTTGTCAACCATCTCTATAAAATATCTGGTGATTACTGCAAATACATAGATGTTTGT